ATGTTGAATTATCGTTCAGTCATTCATGTCGACTGATAAAATTGGTTCTCATCATCGCCCGGGAGGTCGTTTGACAACATAATATCTAACATAACCACAGAGATTAAACCCTCATGTCGTGGATTCGCAGCCATAGCCTTGATCTACTTGGCTACGTCCACCCCTTACTCCCATATAGGTTTTAAGTCCCCATCTACAGTTAGATGTAGAAATCTCTCTGGCATTACCTTATGAGATAACATTTTTCAATTTTCTTTGAATATCTTGTTCTTGAAAATTAGGATCAAAATAGGGTCTGCTAAATATTGTATCCCTGACCTTATGTGAATACATATCCCTTCCTCTAATGGGTGAAGTTTGAAGGAGAGAGGAAGTATTTTTTATCAAATAAGCCAGCTTCACTAAAGAAGTATTTTGAAGTTGGAAAAGATCTACGCTTTGTTTCAGTCAGAACAGGTCCCCGAGACCCTGGGACATGGGCTATTTGGAAGGCTAAACGGGGATACACAAGTAGCCTATCCTCTCAAAAAATGTTTTAATATGTTTAATTCATTAACTTAGATTTGAATATAAAAATTACTGAGCTAAAGATTCGAAGTATAAATTAAAACAATCGAATATGATTTTGAAGTCAGGCCTGGTTTAAAGAGAGTGGAAAAGAAAAATCTTTTTGTCTTTATTAATTTATCCAGTCAATCTTCACAATTCAAATCTCCTAATGACAAAGACATACCACCTTAGCACAAAGTTGATAGGACAAGTCTACGTGAAATATTCAAACGCTCTTACTTTTTGTCATTTCAGTGTTTCATTTTCTATCAATCTATTCTGAGAAAATAAAACCTATTTCCATAGTTGGAGTTGTTACATATAGATAATAATAATAGGGATTACTTTAATGGGATTAAAAGCCAAATACTTAGGTAAAAAGGGGTCATCTCTTCTATTACTATAATAATTATTATTAAAATAATAAATATTGATAAAGATTGAGGTTGGGTTGTCACTGAGAACGAACAATCATGCTACACATCCAGGTTCAAATCTAGACTTAAATTCAGATGGAACGCGTGTCGATACATGATTGAACAATTTGAAAAATTAAAACAAAAACATCTAATTATTTTCTGACACATCAGTTTATCTCTTTACTTTCCTATTTTGAACTCTGGACAAGTGGCTTTATTCAAGAACAAAAGTTGCGCTACAAAAAGAAGTGACACATATATTCATAATTCATCACCCCTTAATCCAAATTAATCCAAGTCTATTACGGCTCTTATCAACTTGGGGGCAAATCAAAAGTCAAAGTAAAAATGGGGGTGTGATAGGTAAAAGTTCTAAGTTGAACCCAATTTCAAATGGAGTAAAATTCTCGTATTTTAGATTCATAAAATAAATGAATTTAACCCTATCTCATTATCAGTTATCACTCAAATAATGACAAAACAATTTCATTTTTTCTAACTTAAGATTTAAAGTTTCAGTCAGCTGGGGGGACCATGAAAACGTGGAAGAAATATACCAAGAAGCAATTGATTGTCAATAGAAAGAAATAGGAAGCAAAGAAAATTAGAATAATACCAAGTAGAACCAATTATTTTTAGGTGGTGCATTCCAATTTTGATCCGTAAGCTCGTAGACCCACGAAACCTATGATAAATGTAATTTATTGGAATTGTGGACTGTACGAGAATGAAGGACGATGTAGACGCACATTATCAAGGATTATGGAGTTTTGCATCCGTCCATCCATCCATCCATCCATCCATCTATTTATCTGTACAAGAATAATAAAGAATGATCATGATTTGTATATTCAAAGATGCGTTCATAACTAATTTTCTAAGCTAGTTCATAATGCATAATTTACTAATAAACTATCTAAAATGTTGGACTTTTGCTTTAGTTTGAACAAAATTTCATGACAAATCGAGCTACTTCACAAACCTCAAGGCATCACACTTCAACCTCAAGTCCACTATGTTGGGATGATGAACAATTCCTCCCAAGTTAAACTAATTTGTCCTACCTTAATCCTCAAATAATAATAGCTTAGATGGTAAATACCATACCAATATAAAGTAATCTTCTATCAACAATCTACTTCCCGAGGAAACAACTAGAAAAAAAGGTTCCCTCCAATGCTCACACGTGTTTGATAGGTGATTATGAGCTTGTTTGGCAAAAATAAGTTGGAGAACCACAAATTGTGTGGATCAAACAAAAAACACACATGGAGCGCAGCACATCATAATACGGGTTGTTTGATAGAACTTTTACTTAAAATTTTAGTAGATTTAATAAAAATTGATGAAATGTGTGACTGAAAATTTAATAAAAATTGTAAATTCCATAAAATACGTTGTTGAAATTGAAGTTTGACTAGTTAAAGAGTTGGTAAAATTTTACAAGCTTTTATCAAATAAGGCACTTAGTTAAATATCATAAATTTCAAAAACAAAAGCACTGGAATTCTTGAATCTTGATAGGCTGTTGATCAAAGCACACACCTTCAATTTCGCGTCAATTCCTTTTCTCTCTCCTTTTTTATTATTATAAATAGCATTACTCCCACAACCGCACCTTAACATAATCAAAGAGCCATCAATATATATGTATACATATTTTTCTCTCTAGCTTATCCATTTTGTGAGCTTCATGGCAGATAGCAATTTCAATTTACCACCAGGTTTTCGATTCCATCCAACTGATGAAGAACTTATAGTCCATTTCCTTCTTCGAAAAGTCGCGCTTTTGCCTTGCCATCCTGATGTCCTTCCAGATCTTGATCTTTATCCCTATGATCCATGGGACTTGAATGGTAACATCAGATAAATTCCTTCTTATAATTTAATTAAATTTTACTAGCTCATCCCAGGTCTAACACATGCATAGTTTTCGTAAATGGACGACATCAAGACTTGAACTGTTTGAACATGCATGCAGGTAAAGCAATGGCTGAAAGCAGCAAATGGTACTTTTATAGCAGAAGAACACAAAGCAGAATTACAGAAAGTGGATATTGGCAGTATATGGGGATTGATGAACCAATACATTCTAGTGCAAGCCAAAAGTTAATTGGTATGAAGAAAGATTATGCCTTTTACACTGGTAAGCCTCCAGAAGGTGTCAAAACAAATTGGATAATGCAGGAATATAGGCTTTCCGATTCGTCTTCCATTTGTAGATCATCAAGGAAAAGAAATTCGAAAAAAGTAAGTATAATAGTTCAAATAATGTAAATGGATAATGAAAAATTAACTAATTCGGCGATTATCGATATGTTAAACATGTTATTGCATTTCTCATGGCTTATGTTTGTTGCTTTTTTCTTTCTTTCTTTATTTTTTAACTATTGATGTTCTTGTTGCTGCAGGATTATAGTAAGTGGGTGGCGTGTCGAGTGTATGAGTACACTTGTGGCAAGGAAGACGACGATGGGTCGGAGCTTTCATACTTGGACGAAGTTTTTTTATCGTTGGATGATCTCGATGAAATTAGTTTCCCAAATTCGATAAACAAAGAAAAGGAAGAGAATATGATCTAATATTGTATAGTACTATTGTAAATTTTCAAATATTATTGTTCTTAGTCGTTGGAGTTGGACCAAATGTCTTATCAAGTTAATTGAATACAAAAGATCGGTCTAACCATTAATTGATGTTGATTTGAGCAATACGAGATTTGGCTTGGTCTAACAATTAATTGACGTTGATTTGACCAATATGACATTTGGTATGAAAAAGTATGATAAACCTTCATTGAG